CGCTCGCTCGCTCGCTCGCTTGCGCTTTCTCTTCCACAGGGGTTGGGGGACTGTTTAGATCCCCCGGTCACAAGGGTCCCATCTGTTACGGGGCTTTGTGGGGATTGTGACACATTTCACAAAGTGAACATCTCTTCCCACAGTATGTTCCTCTCTCTCTCTCTCTCTCTGTTTATCGGTAACAGCAGCGGTGCTCCATCGTGGTAGGTCGTTTGGCCGAGTGGCCCGTTCCAGCGCGGCTGCTTTCCTCGCCTTCTCCTGCTCAAAAGCCTTCAGGGATGTCGGGGAGATCCTGTAGGGGCCTTGTACAATTTCTATACTCTACTATAATGAACTGTAACATACCATGACGATAGAAGCTGCAATCATATACCAAAATAATATACTAGAAGGTCGAAGGCGGCGGGCTTGGAATTTAGCGCGCGGTGGCGAGTGCGAGCTTCTGTGGTGACTGACACTTTCCTGAATTCCCTTGCCATGCCTGCTTGGCGCGGTCCATCCCTGCAGCCGCTTGCCGAGTGTCCTTCGTGAGAGACTCACATGTACAACACGTTACGGGCCTGCGTCAACAAGATTTACTCTTCACCCTGTGTCCTGCTAGCATGTGCTTATAATTCCAGCTGCCAGAGCATTCGTCGGATAAGGCAGCATAGATCCCAAGATTCATACAAATCTCTCGAGTATAGAAGACCAGGTAAGCAAGGTCATCGGTGCTGTTCCTGTGGTCGTTGCTGTTGCTGATGCTGCTAAACCCGAGACCCAGATATGGGAGTTTCCAAAAACTAGGGTACCCTATTTTGGGGTCCTTATAATAAGGATCCTACTATTTAGGGTGCTATATTAGGGTCCCCTATTTTCGGAAACTCCCATATCAGGCGGGGCAGAACCCTCTCCCCAGCCACACCTGGGGCATGGCTCCCTGGCTCTCGGCGGAGGCCCTGAGAAGAAACTTCAAGATTGGGGGAACCCAGAGACTCCAAAACCCCTTAACTTAATTAAGGAATATATACCTTAGATTATTATAGGAGCCCTAATATGATTTAAGGTATATTCCTTAATTAAGGGATATTGGAGTCTCTGGGAAGGTGAGTGATTCGGGGCTTGAGTATGAAATTATGGGTTTCGGTGCTCACACTCGGACAATCCAGGCGAGGCAAATGGTTCGAGGTCCGCTGAGAAGTGAAACCAAAGCGAGTCGAAGACCACTACTAAATTAGGCTGGGCCTTCCTTGCATCGAAGTCCACTCTGTAATTTTTGACTCCACTAGATAATGGACTTCAATGACTACGAAAACAACCACAGAGGGAAGGGTGAAGGTACACTAGGGCCCCATCACAATATCTGGGGTCGGGAGTTGATTATGGCTTTAGGGGTCGGGGCAAAGATGGGCCTTGGGGCTTCCAGAGGGGGCTCACGCTCTCAGAACTCGGAACAAGCCAAGAGACGTTTTAGCTTCGAGCCCTTGCATCAGGGGGAGGGATTTGGTTGCTCCTTTTCGACGGGATGTCACAATCAAACAGGTCCAAAGCCCAGCAGTTCAAGCAATCACGAGCGTCAAAATGACACAAAAGCCCCAAAACATGCAGCTCCCTGACATCGGTTTCCCCCTTCGCAAAAATAAACCCTGAACCGCCTAAACCCCAAACACTCTACCTTTGCTTGAAGATGACATAACAAGCGAAAACTCGAAAGCGACAAGGAGCCTCCTGGCTCGCTCCAGGGCGGCTGCTTTGCGAGCCTTCTCCTCCTCAAAGGCCTGAACCGAAGATGGCGCCTAGTACCATAATATAATATAGTCTAATACACTATAAGATTATTGACATTATAGAATATACTAGTATATTATTAGCACTATAGAATATACTACATATTATATTATGAATATCATAGAATCTACTATGAGAGGGCTTGGGGTCAAGGGTTGTTTTTGCCCGGGTTTAGGGGCATTGCGTTGAGGGCCAGCAGAAACAGGGCAAGGCGACGTGGGTCTAGGTACTGAAGGTAATCAGAAGAATGAGCAGGACAACCTTTCGCAGAAATGATATAGCCAGCTTCTTACAAACGCCGAGGCCTGTCTTGCACGGTCCATGCCCAAGTCGCCCTTGGCACCCAAATCCTGGTCATGCAAGCACCAAAATTTCACAGTTATGCAGCCCACCCATGCCAGGCCAGATAGCACATAGGCCAACCAGTGTCCTGCCGCATATCCGCCCCACCACGGCTGGGGTGGCCATTCTCGGCGGCCGCCCTTGCGCAATGGAATGTGAAGGCTCGACCGTGCCCTGATCCCCTAAGAAGCTTTTCTGCCTCCGGGCCCGGTCCAAAGCTGCTGCTTTCCTGGCTTTCTCTTCCTCGAAGGCCTTCGAGTGCGGTGTGAAGGGTGTCGGCTTTACATGGACTTGCCTACAGGTTGTATGCGCTGGAACATGAAAGTTTTCAGGTAAGAAATGGTAGCTGAGAAGACCTTCCACGATTTTCATGGGTGCAGTGGTGCTGGCAAAAATCTTCCAGTCAACCAACCTCGAGAATCTGGCAGCTGGGTTCCGTGAGACCGACTGTGACGGAATGTCTTTCGGCAACCGGTTTCTTGAGTCTTAATTACAGTCAAGTGAAACACTTGGCTGATAGTCCTTCAACCCCAGCTAAGGATCCATCCTGCCGCTCAAGCGCCGATGTTGCTGTGATAAGAACGGTGGGTATTACTATTCATGCTCAAACACTGTCTTGCTGCTGCGATGAAGTTTATCTGGTCGTCCACCTGCTTCGCCCTGTCCACACCGCCGTCGTGGTTGGATCCGTCCTGGTACACCATGACTTAAAAAACTCAGAAGTCACAAACGTAGGGGCACTGACAGCCGCCGGCCGCGTGCAAACAAACTATGTTGGACATACTAACTCACGACACGACGACTACTAGTCCTATTACCCCAACTACTCCTACTACTCCTGCAACTCCTACTATGCTACTGCTACGACTACGGCCACTGCCGCTGCTGCCAGGACTACCACTACCATTGCCGACGACGACGACCTGAATCTGCAGCTGAGTCTGCCTGGCCCTGTGCTGCAGCGCGGGCTGCCCGGGCTTTGTCCAGCGCTGCGGCCTTCTCTGACGTCGGATCATGCAACGGCCAAGGTTGGAACAGCATCGAGCTTTCAGGCTGACCATGCTGTGCATCTTCCGAAAAGTCGCAGGAAGCGGACTCAAGACACAGGCCTTGCGAGCTTTCTCGTCGGCGAAAGCCTTCCGAGCCTTCTAGCAAAGTCGCTTGGATGGTATGCACGTAAGCTGATTGCGACCGGCTGTCTTCCAAGTATTCGTAAGGCGACTGCAGTACCATGCAACATGCTCGCTGCGGCTTCTCCAAGTCATGCCGAGCCCGGAGGAACAGCAATGTGATGATGTCCCTCGCATCTTTGCCTTCTCGATGCTGGAATCCGGTGGAGCCTCGTCCTCCTTCGACTGGCCTGCCCAAGAACAGCTGCTTTCAGAGATCTGTGTGTTCGAAAGGTCAAAACCACGTCGCCAAATCGTGCGAGCCGGTATAAATGTAATCCATTCACTGTTGTGTTCGCAGGACACACGGAGACCAGCTACCTGCGCGGACAGAAACAAGCCTGATTTCAAGAACCACGTGGCTTAGAAGGCGATTCATCCGACGCAAGAACACAATTCCCACCCATCACAACCGCGGCTACAGTCAATCTGACTAGCATTGCAAGCACCAGGAGCATCATGACCGGACCACAACCATGAGCAGCAACGTCATGACCACATTCGACCCCCAGTTCCATTTCCACAAAAGCGAGAGGGACGCATGAAGGCGGTAGTAGCTCAGCAATCAGAACTGCCCTCGCAGGGGCCGAAATCTGAAGTTCGACTGCTTCCGGCCTTCCGATGGGTCTGCCTGGCCGGCTTCCCGCACCCTCGCGCGGGCCTCATCTGTTAGGGAGTAGGATAAGTCTCCTTCAGACTTGGATTTCATAAAACCGACGACATGGTCCTACATGCTAATACATATTTGTTGGTACATGCGTCTCTGTCCCTATTCTTTCGTTCCTTCCCTCCAGAAGGAATCTCTCTGTCGCAAGACCCGCGCTTTGGGCGACCCACCTCACCTTTTCGAGCCCTTCGGGAACAGGCTAGTACTATGACTCTATTCTATTCTCCGGGGCATAGGGCACGAGTTTGTAGGGGCTGTAAAAAAGAATGGATTATGACTCTCTCTCTCTCTCTCCCTCCCTCCCTCCCTCCCTGTAGATTGTTGCCTCCTGGTACCCCCCAAACAGTCTCAGCTAGCAGCTCAGCACAACGGTCAGTCCATCCGCCCAGCCCCAGCGAAACTTGTCAACACCCAACATGTGGCTCAAACAATGCTCGACGTTTGCTCGACGTTCAGTGGCTGCTGCAGGGCTGTATATATATATATACATGTGTGTATGTATGTATGTATGTATGTATGGATGTATGTCTATTTATGCACATACATACATATACATGTGTGTCTGCGAAAAGGATATGCAGGGGCAGGAGTGTTTACGTCGCTTTGCCGCTTGTCCTGCTGCGTCCCGTACGTGCCACATTCACAATTCGCCGAGCGACCCGTTCCAGTGCCGCTGCCTTCCTGGCCTTCTCCTGCTCGAAAGCCTTCGAAAAAAGTCGAAGACATCGGGCTTGGAGGTTAATAGTCGGGACTGTGAGGGACGCTAAGCGCCGCAAGGCTACTGTAAAGGACAACTCCCGACAGCCTACAGCACTGACTGAGCTCCTCGGTGACGCTCGCTCTGCTGGCACTTGTAATTAGTGTACGGCGCCTGCTTGGCGCGATCCATTCCTGCGGCGGCCCCTTGGCGAGTGTCCTTCAATAGCGAACGAACTGTTTGCTGGTCTGGTTGAACGTGCAGATGTGCAGGACGGCTTGGACTTGTGTCCTGCTTGAAATGCCTCATGGCACAGTTTGTGTCTGTATAGCCCCCAAGCATTCGATGAAACTGTCACGACGTCATCTGCGACTCCCTCACAGCCAGAGCACTCGCACAAGCGTAGAGCACCGGATTCTTCTACATGCAATAACGAGTAAGCGGTCACGATTATCGAGACTTCCTTCGTTGCCAAAAAAAACTCTTAGAGTCACCAGCCACGCCGGCCTCGCCTGGGGGGTGGCCGTGGCTCCCTGGTTCTCGGCGGAGGCCCTGTACCCAAACTTCGAGTTTGGGGCAAGTTTAGGGTTTAGGGTTTAGTAGGTTTCAGGCAAGGAAGACTTCGACTGGCGCAACATGGCGCAACTACACGGACGAGGCAGAACATGGAAATCCAGCTTCAGACCCAACGGAACCTCAACTAACATACGCAAGTAACGTTGAGATTCCGCGTTACTCACGCGCAGCATCGCTGGAAGGTTCTAGTATATGGCCGTTGTGGATCATGGTTGTGACAACTGCTGGCCTTTTGACCTACATGTTTTTGGTTTTGGGGGTTTGTATTAGCACTCGCTTGAGGGGCTTATACTTTAAGGTTCAAGGCTCGGGCAGCGGAGTTACTTGATATCACCGCCGGCTCTGCCAGCCTCTTAACCGTCTTAACCTTTTAGTCTACTAGCCTTAGCGACCTTATTAGAACCCGTACGCAACCCTAAAGCCCTTGTAGCAACCTTCTAAGATTATTGAACCTGTGTAAAACCGCAAAGCCCTGGGACACTGAGCCCCTTGGCGGAAATCCTCTCCAACCAAGAGACCTTCCGGTCAGAAGCAATTCTATCTCTTCTCCTCATAGCCGAAATATCCCAGAGCCCCCTGACACCAGGAACACACCCTAAGAAACAGTAACAAACACCCTAAACCCGAAACCCTGAAAGTAACAAACCCTAAACCCTAACCCCTAAACCCTAAGCCGCCTAAACCCCAAAAACTCCAACTCTGCTTGAAGATGACATAACAAGCGAAAGCTCGCAAGCAACACGGAGCCTCCTGGCTCGCTCCAGGGCGGCTGCTTTGCGAGCCTTCTCCTCCTCAAAGGCCTGAACCGAAGACGGAGCGTAGAGGGAACAAATATGATCTACCAAAGTATGATATAGTATACTATAACCTACTATAATATACTATAATGACAATACCCTCACTTAATCTGCAATAATAGGATTGTTTAGACCAGATTTGCAAAGGTTTGCACTTAACATACGGTAACAGAAGCAGGGATATATATATATATATGTATATGAGCATATGTATGTATATATATATATATATATATATGATGCATGTTTGCATTCGCGCACATGTGGCCGCAACACCTGCTCTGTAGTCAGACCTGATCATTCTGGCACAGTCATCCGTGCTTAGTGGCGGCAAGCGGGCACCAAATCAACGGGAACACGCTCGGAAGCAGCACAGCTACTCTAGCGAAGCACTCAGCTTGAAGATCTCCCAACTAATCCCGAAGCCTGTCTGGCCCGGTCCATGCCCACATCGCTCTTGGCGCCCATGTCCTGGACATGTAGCCAGACATGCAACAGTCTTGTGATTGCACATGCATCAAAACACAAAGTCCAAAGAGTGTCCTGCGGTGCCTCTACTCCGTTCGGCTGGCTGGTCTCGGCGGCCCTTGCCCTGCGGTTCAGGTCCAAGTTCGGGTCGGAATCGTACGAATCACTAGTCAGCCTTTATCGAAGGAGGGCACTCGCGGTGGCTCCGATCTCCGAAACTGACGCCAAGTCAGTCACACTTCCAGCCTCCTGGCCCGCTCCAAAGCTGCTGCTTTCCGGGCTTTCTCCTCCTCGAAGGCCTTCGTCCGACGTTTGGCAGAAGGAATGGTTGCAGATGCACTAACAGGTTGTGGGAACCGTCTGTGCCGGAAAGAGCTCGATTTTCCTTTGGGGCTGAATAGCCGAGATGGGATGCCTTTCTGCAGGTGTTCGTCACTGAAGCACGCTGCGCTGCTTCTAGTCCTACTTTGACAAATAGTACAAGCCGCAAGTTCATTGGAATCTTGCTACGACCGTTGCGGCGTTCTGTTCGGTTACTACTGTGCCACACTTCCTGCCAGCATTTTTGATGCTCACACTCGTCACTTGGGCATGTCCAAACAACATTGTGGCTGCTCTTTTTGTTATGGTTCTTCATGTTATGGTCTTGCTACTACGACAAAAGGATATTGTCGCCCACCTGCTTCGCTCTGTCCACACCGGTGTCCTGGTTGGATTCATCCTGGCATACGTGCCAGCTCTGTCAAAAGGAAACCTCGAATAGTAGCGCTAGGGTCGCTAGGGCTATCACATTCGAAATGAAAGGGGAGCATGCAGACATACGTACATACATACATACATACATACATACATACATACATGACATAATACATATCATACATACATGTATGTGTATATATATATGTGTAGATGCATGCCAAGATCTTTATTACATGGGTGTATGCATGTGTAGGCATCTATGTATATGTGTTATGTGCGTGTAGGGTAGTCTGTGCATGTGAGAGCAAGTCTGACTAGATGCACATGTAAATGCATTTGCACGCGTAACGATATGCCAATGTATATGTACCATAGCATATGTACCATATGTATGCACATGCAAGGGTGCGTGCATGCATGGTCCTGTTCAGGTGGTAAAAGGGACGACAACAGCCACCACATGAAGAAAACCCGCACTGAGAATCATGTTGGCTGCAATAAGCGCACTAGCAACAAAAAATCATCAGTATTATTCGCAACCGACAACGCGCTGGCAATAGAAACCAAGTGGAGAACCAAACCACTGAGCCTGAGTGGGAAGCCTCGTGCTGCAACGAAAGCTCGAGCTACTCCTACCGAATGTCCCACTGCTAGAATTCGGACCTGTGCCGCACCAGTACCAGTACCACACGTCACCACCACTACGACGATTATCACTACCACTACTACTACTACTACTACTACTACTGCTCCCTCTTCCTCTTCTGCTGCAACTACGACTATAAATACCACCACCACCACAACAACAACAAGAACGATGACTAGTATTGCAACAGCAACAACAACAATCAACACCAGCACCAGCACCAGCACCAGCACCAACAGCAGCGGCAGCGGCAGCGGCAGCAGCAGCAGCAGCGGCGGCGGCGGCAGCGGCGGCAGCACCAGTCACGTCGACAGCAACAGCACGAACACCAGCAGCAACAACAGCAGCACGAACACCAGCAGCAACAGCGGCAGCAGCAGCAGCAGCAGCAGCAGCAGCAGCAGCAGCAGCAGCAACAGCAACAGCAAGAGCACCAGCACCAACAACAGCAACAGCCACACCCAAACCTCAACGCCGCCACCACCACCACCAGCACCAGCACCAGCACCAGCACCAGCAGCAGCAGCAGCAGCAGCAACAGCAGCAGCAGCAGCAGCAGCAGCAGCAGCAGCAACAAACAACCAACAACGGACCAACAACCAACAACCACAATAACCAACAACAACCACAACAATCACAACAACCAACAATCGACAACCAACAACCACACCACCACCACCACCACCACCACCACCACCACCACCACCACCCCCACCACCACCACCACCACCACCACCACCACCACCACCAACACCGACAACGACAACGACAACGACGACGACCACAACAACAACGACCACAACAACAACGACCACAACAACAACGACCACAACAACAAACAACAAACAACAAACAACAAACAACAAACGACAACGACAACGACAACGACAACGACAACCCACCACCAACAACAACACCACCACCAACAACAACAACACCACCACCAACAACAACAAACAACAACAAACAACACCAAACAACACCAAACAACACCAAACAACACCAACAACACCAACAACAACAACAACAACAACAACAACAACAACAACAACACCAACAACACCAACAACACCAACACCAACAACACCAACACCACCACCAACACCAACAACAACAACAACAACAACAACAACAACAACAACAACAACAGCAACCAGGGCTGTTAAGAAAACACGCCCGCAACCCGAAGAATCCTAAACCCC